AATCATAAATAAATAAATATGTCTTTACCTGATTTTAATTCTAAATAACAGATTTGTGCACTGATGAGACATATGTAATCAGTAAAAGGTTTAAAACAATGAGAAATGTACATAGATTCTCAGACCACTGATAAAATAAGCACAATTTTAAGTTATACAAGAAAAAAGAATGACATTTATAGTTCTCACACTGGCCTCTATTTTGTACAACAAAATCATAACTGCATCTTTTTTATAATAAGTCAGTCAGCAAAGCTCACTTCACAGGTCCACACAGATTGGATCTAGACATTTTACCACCAGAGACAATCATGGGGCATGCATGTGCTGTTGCAGAATTGAGCTGCATTAAATCTACTATTTGAAGAATCTAATATGACCTAATTGCTGGAGGAACTGTCTTGCACTCCTTGTCATCCAAAGTGTGATCAATGACAGGCCTGTAAGTAATGGTGACCTATAACAGAAAAAAATGGAAAATACAGAAATTAAATATGAGGGGAAAAAAACGTAAAAGCAATAATCAAATACAACAGGTTACAGACTGACCTTGCCAGTTTCAGGGTCCATTCGGGTAAGAGTGTGCTTCCTCCAGTGCTTTTCAACCGGTAAAGGTGTCTGGCCTTCCAGAGGCTTAGAGTAGTCATACTCATCAATACGGCTCTGTAAGTAATGAATGAAAATTAAGAACTTCCCTACATAAAAATAGATAGGTAGAGTGGTATAATGATTTGATTGAATTTTAACATACCTTGAAATCTTCACGTGCATGAGCACCCCTGCTTTCCTTCCTGTTCTCTGCAGAGTAGATGGTTTGCATAGCATTCAGGAGGAGATTTTGTAGCTCCAAACTCTCAATCAAATCTGAGTTCCAGACCAAGCTCCTGTCAGAGATCTGAAAATTTACAATATTAGCAAAAGTGCACATGTGTTAAGATTTCATGATTGGATCAAGAATAGCTCACCTTCAGATCCTTAAGTTCTTTGTAAATAGCGTCCATCTGCTTGCAGCCTTCCTGGAGGGTCTCAGCAGTTCGGAATACAGCTGCATTTGTCTGCATGCACTTTTGCATTCTCAGGCGCAAGTCAGCTGTTGAGGTGTGTCCATCAGCATACCTTACGGAATCTAGGTTGGCAACTGATTCCTCTCCAGCATTCTAAAGGATACATAGAAAACAAAATGAATGATATTATATCAAACTTCATTCACTACTCCTCGTTTTCAGAGTATTTCTGTAAAAATTTGAGGTAGCGATGGAGTGCACGTTTTACAAAACAAAGAAAACTTACCGCCTTCAGAGGTCCAATAGCTTCTCCGGGCTTGTTCTCCTCAGCGATGGCGTGGGCGCAGGCGCGGCCGAACACAACCAGGTCGAGTAGAGAGTTGGCGCCCAGCCGGTTGGCGCCATGCACGGAGGAGCAACCAGCCTCTCCGGCGGCGTACAAGCCGCGCACGATCTCGTCGGTGCCGTCATTCTTCAGCACCTGTCCCTTGTAGTTGGTGGGCACACCGCCCATGTTGTAGTGCACGGTGGGCAGCACGGGGATGGGCTCGCGGGTCACGTCCACGCCAGCGAACACCATGGCTGTCTCAGAGATACCAGGCAGACGGGTAGCCAGCTGTTCTGGGGGCAGGTGGTGCAGCTGCAGGTAAACGTGGTCCTTGTCGGGTCCACAGCCACTGTGGGAAAGACACATATTGATCCAAATCAGGTTTGCAAAATACTGTTTACAAAAACTTGAGTGATAAAAACCGATAGAAAGAGATAAAAAGAGATAAAGAGATAGATAGAGATAAAAAACCAAAGAACTAACCGTCCTTCACGGATCTCGATGGTCATGGACCGAGACACGACGTCACGAGATGCAAGATCCTTGGCTACTGGAGCGTAACGCTCCATGAAACGCTCACCCTGGCTGTTAATGAGGTAGCCTCCCTCACCACGACATCCTTCAGTGATGAGACAACCAGCACCATAAATACCTGTGAGGGAATGTCAGTTTCTTGAATTCTATGAAACAACAAAAACTACAAGCATAATACATTAAACTTTGTAAGAATATACCAGTAGGGTGGAACTGAACAAACTCCAGATCTTCATTCTGCAGGCCAGCACGTGTGACCATTGCTGTGCCATCACCAGTGCAGGTGTGGGCTGATGTGCAGGAAAAGTAAGCACGTCCATAGCCTCCAGTTGCAAGAATCTAGTAAAATCATTGAAAAATACATAAATTCAATTTAAAAGTAAAGTTAGTGCTGTAGCAATAATTTGAAGGATGAAAGATTCTTTTACTTACGGTATTCTTAGATCTGAATCTGTGAAGAGATCCATCCTCCAGACAAATGGCAATAACACCTCGGCATTCTCCATCTTCAATTAAAAGGTCGAGGGCAAAGTACTCAATGAAGTAATTGCAATCGTACCGAAGAGACTGGCCATAAAGGGTGTGAAGAAGGGAGTGACCAGTTCGGTCTGCAACACAGCAGCATCTGTGTGCCTGGCCACCTTTGCCAAAATTGTAAGATTGACCACCAAAGGCTCGTTGATAGATCTTTCCTTCAGGAGTTCGGCTGAAGGGCATACCTGAAAAGTATTGTTCAATTTGTGAAAAAGGCACTGAATAAATTTTTAATCTTCTAAAAACAATGACAGTAAACTACACAAATTAAAATGACTAGCTTCACTAACCATAGTTTTCTAATTCTGTCACAGCCTTAGGAGCTTCACGGGTCATGTAGTGAATTGCATCTTGATCTCCAAGCCAATCTGATCCTTTCACCGTATCATACCTAAGGAATTTTTGCATAAGTGATCCATGAAACAATCTATACATGAAAATTCCCAAGGCAGCTATTTTTTAGGGTCACTTACATGTGCCAAACCCAGTTATCTGGTTCCATGTTACCAAGAGCTGCATTAATACCACCTTGAGCAGCAACTGTGTGTGATCTGGTTGGGAAAAGCTTGGTAATAACAGCCGTCTTGAATCCTTCGGCCACAAGACCAAAGGCAGCTCGGAGGCCAGCCCCACCAGCTCCCACTACCACAGCATCAAATGTGTGGTCAACAACTGGGTAGTCCCGAGACACCTGGAAGAATGATAAAACCATTGTGAAACAGGTAGAAAAAACAACAAATTTTAACTTAAAGTGGATGAACATTATTTACAGCGTCTGAAGTTTTAGCCTCGGATTTGACACCACCAACAGTGTAGTGGAAGTTGCGAGCAACTGCTGTCAAAGCTGGCATCCCCGCGCCCTTCTGAAATAGTAAAAGAAGAGTTATTACTACTACTCCACTTCAGTGGTGACAATACAACAATATGCATTAATTATACACTGGGAAGGAAACTTGAGACAAAAAGTGGGAGATGTAGAAGATAAGGTCTAAGCACTTAGAGGTTAACATAAAGGGCATGGTGTGTTACATAATAGAATAACAAAATCAAATATCATCCAGTAGTCAGCAAAAATGATAAAGATACTGTCAACAATAGTGGAAGTGAGTTAGGTATGCTGTTTAAGAAGTAGCTATGAAGAATAGTAGTTCATAACAAAAACATTACAAGTAGACTCCAATCCTGTACTGTACAAATTATCTAACATATGTACCAAGAAAAGTGGAAAGGCAGTTTAGAATCCATTCTAGATTTTAAAGGCAGCTAAACTAGTGAGGTGAATGACTTGCACTAACTTAAAGCGAATTAAAATTATAATGAATAAACGCCAACAAAATAAGAATGCAATTAAAAATTTCCTCAACTCTAAAACGAAGTCCGATAGCAAATCAGATACAAGACATTGCTTAAAAAGCTGCTTAAAATCAGATATATGGAGGAAAATACTAATACGCTTTGAAAACAAAAAGCACTTTAGAAATTAAAACAGGTGACTTAACCTCCAAGAGAGTACTTTCATGCAGATTTACAGTTATTCGCAACAACAACTCATCAGTTTATTCGAAAAAAGGCGACAGGTACGAAGTTTCAGTACCAATTAAGTATGATAGCGGTATTTTTAACGAAAATTATATGTTATGTAACTATTTTCCAAGTCTTGGGACGTGACCAGAAGAAAAATATTGAACAACCAATCGCTGGGTAAAATAAGGGAAGTAATGAGTTCGAGCGAGATAATTACCACAGAGAGGGCCGGCGCGGAGCGCGCAGCCATAGAGGCGACGTTTAACATGGCACTTTTTGTACAATAATCCCGGTTCGAAATAAAATCTTCAACTACGTAGATGCCCTTCTCGGAGTCATACGACTGACGAGCGCAGACGCAGATCGAGCGGCCCTCGCGTCGACTGCTAGGAACATTCGAGGGTAGGGCTACGATCGAAAGAGACGCTCAAGTATCTTCCACCCTTGTCTAACCAAAGAGATTGAGTCAAAAAGTACACACGCAGTTTTCGGATGCAGCCACTTTTATATTGCCACCCCACCGAAGCTTTCAAAATTTGAAATCAAGGACGTGCCTACACTTATCAATGCGTCGTCTCTAAAATATATCAGTTAGCTAGATGTAGAGAAAAGTTTTATTGCCTACTTTCATCAAATTCAACAATGTTTTTCTTTTTTTGTACTTTCAAATATAAGCAAGTGTTGAACAGCCTGAGAAAAGCGCGGGCAGCGGGTGTTCTTCTGCTTGTTTGACTTATCGGTCTGTGGAAACTCAACGAAATCTGACGAAATTCGAAATTTAGACTTTGGTGATTGAACGCATGAATGCCTTCTTTTTGAAGTTTTGTCCTGATGTTGATGAGTATTTTTATTGTAGCACATCCATTAGGTTTAATGTGTTATTTTGGCTAGGTTTTAGAAAATGACTAGAGAATGACTATGAGAGGTTATTTATATACATCTTGTTATTATTAAAAATATATTGTATTCCACATTTTAAAATGGACGACGTTGAGTTGGACTTTTCATCCGTTCCAGATTTCGAGGTAGGTTTTTTTAATATTTAAAGTATTAATCTAAATCAATACTTTCATATTTCCTCTATGTTGTGTATGAAAGTCACTTCACTGAGTTCAGGAGAATCTAATTATGTTGGTCTTTCTTAATACAGGAACTAGATAACGAATTGAAATGTGGGATTTGTTATGAACGTATCGTAACACCTATGATAACTTCATGTTCGCACACATGTACGTTGCACAATAGCTGTCATTGTCGCTTATCTAATAGTTCGTCAAACTGTTGATGATATATTCTCAATTTAATTTCCAGTTTGTTCTCTCTGCATTCGAAAATGGCTGGCAACCAAACAAGTATGCCCAGCTTGCTCTGAAACAGTTTATGAAAGTTCATTGAGGAGAAACCCAATGGTAGAGAATATTATTACTGCATTATACAACTTTGTCAAAAAAAGAGAGAAAAGGTAAATTGATTTGACTGATTGTACTGGTTTTGAAAAATGTATACACAACAGCTCATTTAATTTTTCATCTTTACAGGAGCACTTTACAGTCTGCAACTCCAGGTTCTTCAAAAATTAAAGAAACACTGCAATCTCAGGTACCTGTATTTTTCTTGATATCTAAAATTTATGATCATATCTTCTACACATTTGAATAACTTTTACTGTCTCATATTTTAGTTAAAATCCAAGACTAAGCAGAAAACCTCAAATTTAAGCAATGATCACAATCAAGACTCAGATAGTGAAGATGATTTTTTGCCAAAGAAGACTCCTCCCATCACTCCGAGGATGACTGCGAATGAGAAGTTGACTATTTCCTCTCGTTCGTCTCCTTCCTCAAACACACCACAAAGGAGTGTGAATCAGAAGATGTCAATAAAATCTTTGTCATCTCCTCCGCTTAAAACACCACAAAGAATTGTGATGAAGCCATCAACTTCATCACCTGCTCCATCATCTCCAGCTTTATCTTCAGCTGCAATGAACTCTCCAGGACCAGCTGTACAAAAAGGACCAAAAGTTGCATGCCCTGTATGCAGGCAATTGATGCCAGAGACTATAATTAATGCACATCTAGACAAATGCTTGGCAGGGGAGTCAACCAGTGGGTCTAGTAGTAATCAAAGTGGTCCAAATACTCCTAGTTTGTCTAGTAATCACAATGGATTAAGCAAAAAGGCTGTGCAACCTGCTAGCCCTAGTATGAGTCAGTCAGTTTCCAAAACTGTTAAGAAAAGGTATGTAAACGTCCTGAGATTTAATATCTTGAAACAATTTTTTATTTGAAAGTAACTCATTCAAGGGTACTTTTTATAACTGCAACAAAATTATTATTTGTGTTGTCTATTTTTAGCAATGAGAGAAGTGGTCAGTCACTGGAACCAATCAAGAAGATGGTTTACAATCTTTTTAAAGATGCTCAGTTAAAAAAAGAGTTGAAAAAGTATGGTCTGTCTGCTACTGGTGACCGTACAGTTCTTTTATCTCGTTTAAATCGGTTAGTTTTCCTCCTGTACTGATTAACAAGTGCATGTACTTAATGTTCTGTTGCATTTCAAATCATCACACTGATGACTCTCTCACCATGAATTTCATGTTCACTTTCAGTTATGTTGCAATGCATAATGCAGAGTGTGATGCAACTAACCCACGGTCATTAGAAGAGCTAAGGAAAACATTTGAAAAAGAAGATAAGTCACTCATAGCACCACCAAGCAAATCATTTGTAAGTTTTTATCCACTAGCTTCTATAAAAACTACCACAGTCAGTCAACTAAACCTAGGAGTACAAATACTGTTAACCATACAATGGCTTTCGTTTTGCAGAGTAAATTATTTAGTTCAAAGCAGCCAGACCCTGAAGAATTTGAGCACCATAGGAAAGGTTACAGTAAGTTTTCAATCAAATTTCAGGATGTGTAAAATTGCATGTATGTTAATTCTACCTTACATAGCTTACCTATACATTTGGTTGCAGTTCAACAAAACAAGAGTAGTTTTGACACTCTTGTTGAGCTGGCCAGGAAAACTAGGCAACCAAAGAAAGAGAGCAAATCTGTTTCCAATGGAAATGTTGCCTCCACATCTACATCTATAAGTAAAGTGAATTTTAACCGTGCAGATTCATTATCAGATTCTGAAGAAGAACTCAGTGACAACAAGAAAATTAAAGAAAAGCTGTTAAACCGAGAACTCTCCTCTTCTGATGAAGATACAAATGCATCTAAGACAACAAAATCAGAGCTAAATAAGATGGAGAACATGACGAAGAAATTCATTGATCCCGTAGTTATAGACAGTTCTGACAGTGAAATTGATTATTCACCATTGGGAAAAGATAGTCCTGTAAAACGGCACTCTGACAGTGACGATAGTGACAACCTTTCTCCTGAGGTAAGCAAGACACCTCTGAATTTTCAAAAAAAGGCAATGAATGTCAAGAGAAAAGTTCAGTGTGTTGAAAGTGCAAGTGATGAAGAAGCTGAAAAATCTGGCAGGCCAGAGAAAAGAGCTTCTCTTGAAGGAAGATCTCCCATACTTGTGAGAAAAACTCCTGTCAGACGAGAGCTAAGAAGCAGGGCTTCTCAAAGCAAGAAAGTAATTCCATCTGAGCTCCCGAATCGGTGTCGGCGTAGTCAAAGAAATGCTGTGAAGAGCAATGAAGAGAAACCTTCACAGAAACCCCCGTCCCCTGATATGTTTGGAACACCTTCGTCATCTGGTTCATCCGATATTCCTTGTGGCCAAGCTAAACAAAAACAGAAAGACGATGCAAAAGATGATGATGCATTAAGCCAACTTGTTTCCTTAATTGATGATGATGATGATGATGGTAAGTAATTTGGAAAGACCCATTTTAATTTATCTGTTTATTCGTTGTTGTTTTTCTCACTAACTATTTCTGTTACAGGAAGCACAACTGATTTTGAAGATTGATGGCAACTGTAAACACTATTTTGCATGCAATGTGTAGTGTTTCTCAGATATGACCTGTGATGGATAGTTTTAATCTTTAATTAACATTTTAAATTTTCAAAAAGAAAAATATTTTTTATTGATTTCTGCTAAATTTGCAGGGAGAAGCGGAAGAATGCATGTATTTCACTTGTGAAATGCAAGATTCGAATTAAAAACTTTACGGTTGGCTCGACCCACTCAGAGTCTATGCCAGTAGCACCTTAATAAGCTCTGGAATATCTGCAAATTGTCTCCTTTCTCCATTTCTGTTTTCTGTACGGCTGTTTCGAGTGGCTTCTCGGTTTGCTCGGTGCGGCGCAGCGCGCATGGTAAAGAAGCCCCCCCCCGCAAAGACAAGCAAAAGACAATGAAGCTCGGGGGAGGTGAGGGCGCGGGCTGCGCGGGCGGGAGGAGCGCAGGACAAGGCCCAGAGAAAAGGAGAGGGGAAAGTGGGTGGGGCGCCGGCTGGGCCTCCAGACCATTTGCAACAAATTGATGGGGCATTGCGCTCCGTGACCGGCTCCGGTAATGGTCCCCAATGGTAGAGCCTAATGCCTCTTTATGGCTCGGTGTCCACCAGAAGCCCCCTCCCCTTTCCTCGGACCCCTACCACTAGCCCCCCCCCCCCCCCTTTCCCCCCCCCCCCCCCCCCCCAGCCGAGGGGTGGGGGCGGGGGGGGGGGGGGGGGGTCGGTCACCCACTTTTCCCTCAACGGCTCGGGGCAGATCATCTCCTCCGCGCTGGGCTTACACTTGGCCTAGGCCAGGTCTAGCCAGGTCTAGCCAAGCCAGGTCCGGCGCGGGGGCTGCCTGCACCTGCACACGCGATGGGATGTTCCCAGTGGAGGGGTGCGTGGCGCCCCCCCCCCCTCCTCCCACCCCGCGCCCGTGCTGCACTTAGCGGCGCCGTTATGACTCCTCGCCTCCCTGGAGATGCTGCCTGGGAATGCAATCCGCTTTTATTTGCCGGCGCGAGGGAACATGGGCCCGGTGGCTGGACACGCTTGATACCGCAGCGGCGGCGCGGCGCGGCGGGCTGCATTCTCCCGATTCTCCGGCGGCGTGCTTCCCTCTGAACGCGCCTCTGCCTGCTGCGCCGCTATCTGACCGTAAATGCCTCGCGGTACCCCTGCGCTCTACTGCACCGCTCGATGCTGCTGCGTTGTGGGCTCCATTCAGCATTCAGGCCCTGTTTCGAGGTCAAAACTTTTCTTTCAGAGGAAAAAAAATAATATCGCACTCATGTGTGCCGTTGGGATGTGTGTGAAATTGTTGTTCGTGGTATTTTACCAATTCACGTGCTCTTTGAATGAGATATTCAAATTATTTTCAAACATAATTATCGGATACTGACGCCTCAGGCGCGTGGCCAGAACGGTGGTAGTGCAGCCCCCCCCCCCCTCCTCTACTACCACCAAAGAATCCTCAGAAGTCTATTTGTATTTATTTGTCAATGGAACAAGTTAGACGTCTGATGGGTTGGTAACTGGCAAACCACCTGTAAGATGACCAGAAGTGCGACATGACAAGACTCAAAATGATATCCTGCCTGCACCAATAGCAAAGGCGTGCAACTGTCAGTGCATGGTTTGTAGTGTTCAACGACATGGTGCACACTTAAAAGAGTAGGACTGAGAATTTGAATAGGCCTACTTAAAAAAGTGTTCAACAATCAATTTAAACACTTAAAGCAGCCCAAAGGACAGGAATTTGTCACGATGACATCGATTGATGTCAAGTTGTGGCTGATTTCCATGTTGTGAGTGCACGCCCAACCCTGAAGTTGCACACCATAAGGAGTGGTGTAACAGACTCTGGCGGACGCGACAAACATGAAACTCGCGGAACTCGCATGCGTCTGCTGCCCGCCAGTGCACGGTGGCGTTGGCGGCGCGCGGGGAAGCTGCCGCACTTTGTGCGGTGGCGGAGCGTAGCGGAGCGGCGGCGGCGCGCGGTCTAATGTTCCTGATTAGAGCCGACATTAGCGGGGGAGGGGGGGGGCGCACTGGGGGGGCCTCGTTCTCCTCCTCGTCCTCTACATGCGGCATTTTGGTGCGGCAGTGGAATAGCTAAGAGCACCTAGCAGTAGTAGAAGTAATTTCAGGTGCAGTCTGGGCGATCCAAATCAATAGCACGACCGGCGGCGGCCACGGGTAGCTCCCTTCCTTTCCCCCCGCTCTACCGCTATCTGCTCCGCGGCTCCGAAATTGATTTCTTGATTTAAGACGACGGCGCAGGCAGTAGTGCAGCCGTAGATCGCCCCTCCCCCTTCCCCTCTCCGCTTGCCCCCCTCCCGGAGAAGCCTGATTGTGACCGCAGGCTGGTAACTCACCGACCCGCCCAGACCCCGCTGCCGGTAGCAGCGGTAGCAGGTCTCCTTATTCTTTTCGCCGTTGGCGACCCCCGGACCGTTGCGGGGCGGGGCATTTTGTAAGGAGGTGGGGGGGGGGGGAGTTATATCATCCCCGCCCGAGTTTGCTTTACCGTTAGCAGATGTCGCAGGGCAGTCTGCGCGCGCAAGGCGAATCGTTTTTTGGCCGCGCCGCGGGTCGAGCGGGGAGCACACCGGATGTGACGGACCGCGGGACCGGACCGCCCTTCTCTTCCCTCCCTGACGCGCACCTCGCTTTGCTTCCCCTGCTCTCTCAGTATTTGCACCCCCCCCCCCCCAGCGGCCCGAGTGAGTGCCCCAAGGTAATTGGACATTAAAGCGGAAAACAGACGGATCTTCGTGGACCAATGGGGTGCGGCGGCGGCCCCCGGCATGAAAGTCGCTCATTTCCTCCTGGGGAGAGGGTGTGACGGGGACGTGGGCGTGGCCAAGCCGAGCAGTGCGGCGCGGGGGATGACCGTCGTGGCATCCGCGAAGAACGTTGTCGCCTTCCTATCGTCGGTCGATACGAGCACAGACTCCAACCGTCGGCACAAACGTCTGTAGCCACTCTCCTGCCCCATCATGTCCCCCTTCTCACCAACCCC